TATATATATAGTCAAAAATTGGTTCAATTTAGTGGAGGGACTTATACCCTGAATATTCATAAAATTAGTTTTTAGTAGTTTGTGGGATATACTATTAAATTGATGGGCTAATTATGACTTTGGGGGGCTAAGCCTGCTTAGACCCCCTGCGATTTTCACCTATGCCTATAGTTGATAATTAATTTTACATAATCTTTTAGTGACAACGCACGTATGCCATTTYCCCACACCATTAGTTATCTTTAAATACACTCATTTTAACACAGTTATAGGGTGTATGTATAGTAGTTATACATCTATAATAATATATTATATAGTTGATTTCAGTACATACAGACTATAACTATTTAAAATATAGCATTCCCGACCACCACCATCACAAGTTTTTAGCCTTTTAAGTCACTCAACTATATTTTCCAAAGAATTAATATAACTATTTTATTATTTAACAATGTACATTTAAACATTTAATGCACAYATGCAAATGATAACTGTACGAATATTCTTTTGATTTAATTCAATTATTTCTTTAAATTVCGTATACCTACCTATTGTATAAATTAATTTAATTTTCCTAAATTTTAAAATCAGAAGTTATTAATAMAATTATGGGCATAATGATATGCAAAAATAAATTACATAGGTATTCAAATAAATTACAGTTTAATTTAACAGGCACCTATGTATATTGAATATTATACTATTGCCAATGGTAAATATTGAAATTCTTAAACATTCAATATTAATATTTTTTGAAGTTAATTGAATTTTGTGAATAAGTCTATAAAATCARTATTGAGAACCTATTTARTATTTACATAGCCAAYGGTAATAAGAATACGTACTTGTAAAGATTGGTGAATTTGATAGGTATAATCTTTTCCATGAATGTAGATGCCGCCGCCAAATGGTGTCTGGCCTGTTGGTAGGCGTTCTGTTCGACAAGTAAATTCGCAATTAGGGCAGAAGCCAGGGCCCAATCTAGGGGGCTTTGCAAGAACAGACTGTTTTCCAGTTGAAGCTTGAGTGTAAGATGTGTGGAGATAAGTGCATTGGTGATCAAGCCTAGGTGTTTATACACCTCAATGATATAGAATAGCGAAAACAGTCGTGCACTTATCAGAGGATTCTTGCTCGTGATCATGCGTCTTCTCGGACAATAATTCGGAAGTAGCTTAGAAGCGATTGTGGCCGGCCCCTTCCTCTCCTGGTTGTACTTTAGGTACACAGTTTCTGCCTCAAGTAAGTATTTCAAAGCTTTTTCGTGATTTTCGTTATCCTTTTCCTCGACGTAAGCCAGCATATTCAGAGAGTTGATGACACTTAGTATGTTGTCAGCTTCCGATTCATGATCTTTGACAGTGTTTATGGCCTTTATAAACATAGACTCGGCCATTGTTGAATCATCTCCAATGTCGTGATATATTCGTCCTAATTGATAGCATACAGCCGCAAGACTTGAGTTTAATTTTTTTTCCTCAGGTCCACCGTTTAGTGAATTTACCTTCAACACAAGCGTGTGATACAACTCTTCCATGCTTTCTTTAGCATTTGCGTTAGATTCGTACGGTTGGAGATTTAAACTCGAAAGGCCAAATACTTCAGCGTGATCAGACGTATTACTATGGTAACGAAACTGATCTTCGTGAGCCATTTTTTCACAGTAAATAAGTACCTTGTATCCGATGAAATTTGAAAACAATTATTTTATATTCTAAAAAAAAAAAAAAAATTAAAAATATTAAATCAACCATCGACACACATAAAAGGTAGAATGCAAATATATAAAATACATAAAAAAGATTTCAAATCGGTTTTCAAATTTGAAATATATTTACAATAATATTCCAATGTTCGTCTAGTATTTTAATTTTTAATCCTATATAGTGTAAATCATCGCACTATTACGGATATACAAATATTTAAMTTTTCCAGTAAACCGACATCAACCGGAGTATGAAATATAAATTTGATTTTATTTATTTTCCTTTAAATAAACGTCGTAAAAAAGTGAAATTATATTTAATTATAAAACTATGAAGTTGTTTTATTTGCTCTCAACACACTCTAGAGTATGGTGGTACATTTATGTAATTTTATTGTAGCGTACCTACTACATTCATAATAATTGCCTGATTTATAAATAAATAAATAATTTGTTTGCCATTAATGCTCCGAATGTTCCGATACAATCCGAATAGCATCCAATACCGGCAACACCAATATCGAAATCGAGTAGAATGACGCAACTAGTAGACATGGAGTCCCTGGATCCCTCCACCCATCAATTAGATCGCATTCGAGTAATCATAATAAGCGATAAATTTAATTCGCTCTCAACTATCAAGTATAAATATATGGATAAAATTATGTATAGGAATAATAAAATTAATAAGAACAAAATAAAAACATATATGTTATTTATCACCCGCGATAAAATCRAATTCAATGATGCAACTAGTAAAAGTTGTATCCTTGGATTTCACTTCCTCCGCTCCACCCATTAGGCTGTATTTAAGTAATCATATAAAATTATGCATTTTATTTGGGACTTATCAACTATCAGGCATAAATATACATTGTACAAATAAT